TTCTGTTGCCAGGCTGGAATGCAGTGACCGGATCTCGCCTCACTGCAACCTCTGCCTCCTGGGTTCAAGCAATTCTCCTGCCTCAGCCTCCCAAGTAGCTGGGACTACAGGCGCACGCCACCATGCCCAGCTAATTTTTGTATTTTAGTAGAGACGGTGTTTCACCGCGTTGGCCAGGGTGGTCTCAATCTCTTGACCTTGTGATCCGCCCGCCTCGGTCTCCCTAAGTGCTGGGATTACAGGTGTGAGCTACCTCGCCCGGCGCCATTTTCATATACATCATTCTTTTTCTGGGTATCTTTAAAAAGGTCCTTTTTTGGGAGTCTGAGGCAGGAGGATTGCTTGAGCTCAGGTGTTCGAGACCAGCCTGGGCAACACAGAGACACCTTGTCTCTTAAAATAAAACTCCACCTTTAAGTTATTCCTCGTCATCCTATTTTATAGATGAGAAAACTACAGCTCAGAGAGGTTACGCAGATGGCTACATGGTTTCCATCCTAGGTCTACTGTCACCAAGCCCTATTCACTACATTAAGTTGTTCCAAAGTTTAACATGTGGCCAGATGTATTCAACCTATTTAACTCATTAATAAGCACATTTAACCTATTTAATCTATTAAGCACAAAACTCCCTTTCCTACTCCCACTTCCAAGTAGAGCTGTGACCAAGAACTGGAGAACAGCCTCCGTGTCCTCTCCTACACCCCCAACTCAGGTGTTGGCACACTTGAATCGCCTAATAGAAAACATGCTCCGCCCTTACTGTTCCTCTCAGCACAGCTCCCAACTGTCTCTTCGCAGGAGTCACCATTCCGAGCTTCCAATCTGCAAGGTCAGTTTAGGTACAGTAATTTAAGACAAACACCGCATGGGACTAGCATTTACCTTCTGGTCCCAGAACCGCACAGACTGCGAGATCCGCAGTAGAACGGCTTTCACAACTGATGGGAGAACTGCATGCAGCGTTCCTGCACTCCACTTCCGCTAAGTCTAAAATGACACCACTGTTCCTAATCTTCCACTCACTTCGAACCAACGCCTTATCGAATACATTTTCAAAAGCCTGGCAGCTTCGCGAGCTGGAGGTGGTGAACCCGTCCCACGCCATGGGCGCACCAACCTTACCTTGCTGTCATGAGGCAAAGAGCCCTGAGACACCCTTGCAGGTCGGCACGCTCCCGCAGCAGCTAGTCTAACTCTGGCTCCCCCGTGTCACACGCGGAGACCGACTCCACACCCACCCACGCACGATCACCATGTGCAAAGTTGAATCCCGACTTCGCCCCAAAGACATTTCCTTTTCCCCTGCATGCAAAGGAGCCGTGAAGACGTGCTCCCAGCCAGGCTGTCGGGCACTGAGATCCCTGCCCCGCGGGCGCCCGCCACCTCCTCCCCGAGCCCAGCATCCGACCCGCAGGACCCACCCCTGCGCAGGAACGCGACGCCCGTCCAGGTGTAGCCGCCGACTGCAGGCCACGCCGCCGGCCGCAGCCCGGGACTCGGGAGGCCGAGGGCGGAGGCGCGGCCGCCGCGCCCGCGCAGAGCCGCCCGTCGCCCCCCCGCCCCGCCCCCACTCGCCCCACCCCCACCGCCCGCCGGCGGGAGCCGAGGCGCGCCCGGCCGAGGCCCCGCCGCCCTGGTCCCTGCCCGCCAGCCCGCGCGCGCGCGCGCGCGCGACCCTCCCGACCCTCCCCGCCGTAGCTCCCTGCACTCACTGAACATCCCAGGCGGCTCCGGCTCCCCCCCGCCGCCGCCGCCTCCGGGATCGGGTTGCTTCCGCCTCCGTCGTCTCTGCCGCAGGGTCTCGCTCCGACGGCCGGCTCAGCTGGGCCCCTGCGCCCCGCGCCCCGCCGCCCCCGCCGCCGCTTTGGGCGGCCGCTCCATGACTGACTGACACGGAGCGGGCCGCGGGCTGGGCCGCTTGGGCCTCCAACGCGCAACCGTCTCCGCCAATGGGCGAGGCGCCTCGGCGCTCGGCTGGCGACGCCTGGCGTGCGTGCCGCCCCTCCCCGCTGCGCCGCCGGCGTCGGGCGGAAGAAGCGCGGGGGCCGGGCCCACGTGGTGGGGCTGCGGGACCAGGACAGTCGCCGCAGCTGTCGCCGCTGTCCTCCGTCGTCTACCCAGGGCTGTCTCGAGCTGAGCCCCCTCCGGGCCCGGGTCCCGAGGTGAGTACCTACCCTCGGTGAGCTCTCTACCTGGAGCCAGGTCCCAAGGTGAGTCCCCCACCCGAGGCTGGTCCTGAGGAGAGCCCCTACCTGAGGCTGGGCCCCGACGGGGGCCCCCCACCCGGCCCAGTTCCAGTGTCGCCAGCAGACTCTGGGCGAGAGCCGACTGGGCGCGCTCCATCTGTGAAGGCGAACTCCCTCCTGGCTCCTAATGCTCTCCTCTGGTTCTTGTTGCTTTGTCTCTTTCTGCTGGGCGGGGAGTGCTGGCAGGGTTTTGCTGTCCGCCCTGGACTTTGCATTGCCGGGTAAAGGCGGCTGGAGGCCAGGAAAGCGGGACTCTGGCGAAGCCGGTGAGAGCTTCTCGGTCGTCTTTGCAGCCAGTTCAACAAACACTTGTTATGCACTTTGTAGCTGTCTCAGTGGCGGTCTGTGGTATTGAACTTAGAAGTCAGGCATCGTTGAATTCGTTTTGGACATTTTGACAAAATGGGAACACTGACAGCACTTGATGGTTCTTCTCTGCAGTAAAGAATAATTTAATTTCTAAAATGAAAACGGCTTAACCGTCCTTTTTACTATAACTTTTAGGAAACTCAAAGCCAAGTGTACCCAGTTTTATAGTAACTGTAGGTGTTTGATATGTTTGCTTCCCCCGAGACTTCATGACGTTTTTGTTGTCTATTTTTAGTCTTTTCCTTGTGCAAATATCTCTTGTAGAGTCTTTTTTGAAGTGTTTATGTGCATTGTAAATTTATACATGAATGAATAAAAGTCTTAGTGGGAGGTTATTGTTGCAGCTGAAATAACAGTATTCCCTTGGGGATTTCTTTTTCACTTGGACACATATTACTTTCTCCAGGTATTGCTTATGTATCTTTTCCTCTTTCAATTGGAAACAATGTATGAATGACTCTTTCCACAAGTAATGTAAACACTGATTTTTGCCGCCTTGGATTCCTGCACACTCGCCTTTGTGGATGTGATGTTTGATCACAGCTGGAATGTATATAGTCCATCTTCTGTGTGTACCATCCATCTTCTGCTTGCTTTTGTCTGAATCTCATCTACATATCTTAAAAATGTACATACCTTAATTTTAAAATACTTTATTGCCAAAAAATGTTATTGGTTATCTGAGCCTTCAGGGAGTCACGCTTTTGTCTGAAAATTCACGGAGTCTAGCATCTTGTATGTAGATTTACCGCAACTGAACTGTTGATTCATTAAAAACTTTTAAAAGAATACATATTAGGTGAACAATAAGATACAATATTGCAATACTGTTGACTTTCTGGTGCCTGCTCAGTCTGACCATGTTATAACATATTTTTTTTCATTGTTTCAAAATTGTAGCTAACTTGTAGCAATGGCTGCTGTTTATTCTGGCATTTCCCTTAAGCTTAAAAGCAAGACAACTTCCTGGGAAGATAAACTAAAACTAGCTCACTTTGCTTGGATTTCTCATCAGTGCTTTCTTCCAAATAAAGAACAAGTAAGTTTAATGTGAAACTCATATTTTTATAGTCTATCAAGATAATTGCATATTGGCAATTGGTTAAAATTAAAAAAAATAGAGAAAAGGTTGGGGAGGGAACTTTGTTGGAAGTTAAATGAATTGTCAATGAAAAAAGTAATGAGTCAGATATTTCATTAATACCTTTTTTTTTCTGTTAAAAAACCTCATTTTAGGTTGGGAGCAGTGGCTCATGTCTGTAATCTCTGTTTTGGGAGACCAAAGCAGGAGGATCACTTGAGGCCAGGAGTTCTACACCAGACTGGACAACATGAGATCCCTTTCTGTTGGGATTTCATTATGTTTTGGGATTTGTGTCCTGGCTTCCCCCACATTACCTGAAGCTTAAACTCTAACTTTAAAAAATAGATATATGTATACACATATGTTAGACATGGTGGCATGTGCCTGTGGTCCCCACTACTTAGGAGGCTGAGGTGGGAGGATCCCTTGAGCCCAGGAGTTTGAGGCTGCAGTGTGCTGTGATTGTGCCACTTCCCTCCTGGTGACAGAGCAAGACCTTGTCTCTTTAAAATAAATAAATAAACCCACTGAATTTAGCATTTCTTTTGTTTGGAGACATTATATTGTAAATTAAGTGTATGCATTAATGAACACATTGGGAATTAAGTTATGAAGTTAGTTTCTGAAAGTAGCTGCATTTGCTTATGAATCCAAAGTGATCTTTCATAAGCAGTTGGTTGGTGGTGCTTTGTTAAAAATCTTCAGAATTGGATAAATTGAAGGTTGGGAAGTAGAGAAATGTTAGTATAAAGCCGTTTTAGAAATAGGCTAGATACCAAGAAAGGCATTGCATTTTGTTAGAATTTCTCAAGCTTTTTTGGCTAAAAAATAGTCAGCGTGATAAACACCAGGATGACAAGCTCATGAAATTGGATTAATACATATCCAGTTGCTGTTGTCAAAGAAGACTGCACAAAATATGTCCAGGATGGATGACATATGTAAAGTGATGATGAGGTGTGGTGCATAGAGCAGCGGTCATATCCAGTGCTTTCTACTTCTGGATGAACATGGGAGTCATCTTGGCAGTGGGGCAGTCACTTGGCAAGTGCTGCCCAGGGTGAAACAAAGGGGTGGCTCTTGCAGCCAATTGGACCAAGGTTTCTGCTGCTGCACTGAGAGATTGTATTCCTTCTGGCATCTGTCACTGTTCATACTGTTATTGACAGTTCTGGTATCATGAGCTGAGGCCTCACCACCTTTCTTCAATGTTTTGTGTATGAGGAAACATGACACAGTAATGGAACCAGTATAGGTGTGGTCCTCCTTTTCATAAAGCACTTGTGTGATTTCCTATTGGTTGTCTATCTCTCAGATAAAGTATAATATTAATGGTGTTAGAGGTTAAGCTGCAGGTAATGTGGGGGAAGCCAGGATGCAAATCCCAGACTTTCAACTCTTTCTTGCTTTTTTGCTTTGTGTGTCTGATTCATTCTGTGGTTATTCTGAGCAGTTGTATTTCTAACTTTTTCTTTTTTTTTCTCCTTATACGATCTGTTCTAACTTTTAAAACTTAGTACATGCATATCTCAGAGATACTACAGGCTTGGTTCCATACCAGTGAAATAAAATTAATATCACAATATTGCAAGTTACACAAGTGTTTTGGTTTCCTAGTGCATATAAAATTTATGTTTCTACTATGATTTATTAAGAGTGCAGTAGCATTATGCTTAAAAAATGCACGTACCTTAATTTAAAAATACTTTACAGTATTGCCAAAAAGTGTTATTGGTTATCTGAGCCTTCAAGGAATCATCATTCATCCTGGAGGGTCTTGCCTCAGTGTTGATGATCTGGGTGGTGATTGCTGAAGGTTAGAGTGACTGTGCTTCTTAAAATAAGACAACAGTGAAGTTGGCTGCATTGATGGGCTTTCCTTTCATGAAAGACACAGCATTTTACCCATGGGAGAACTTCTTTCTAAATTGGACTTCTCAAAACCTGCCACTACTTATCAACTAAGTTTAAGTTCTGTTCTCAATCCTTTGTTGTCATTTTAGCAATGTTCATAGTATCTTCCCCAGGAGTAGATTCCATCTCAAGAAGCCACTTTCTTTGCTCATCTCTAAGAAACAGTTTATTTGTTCAGGTTTTATTAGTCCCTCCTTCAGGCTCCACTTCTATTTCCCTGGCTATTTCCAGTGGACATGCAGTTACTTCCTCCACTTAAATCCTGAGCCCTTCAGAGTCATCCATGAGGATTGGAATCAGCTTCTTCCACACTCTGGTTAATGTTGATATTTTGACCTCTTTTCATGATTCATGAATATTTTTTCTGGCATCTAGAGTGGTGATTCTTTCCAGAAGATCTTCAGTTTGGCTTTCACCACATTCATCAGATAAATCACTATGGCACCTGTAGCATTAGGAAATGTGTTTCTTAAATAATCAGACTTGAAAGTCAAGAGTACTCCTTGATTTATGGGTTGCAGAATAAATATTGTGTTAGCAGCCATGAAAACAACATTCATCTCCTCCTATATCAGAGCTCTTGGTCACCCTAGAGCAGTAATCTTCTGATAGAAATCTTTTTGTTCTGATCTGTCTCAATATGGGCTTAAAAATCTTCAGTAAACTATGCTGTAAATGGATGTGGTGTCATTCAGGCTTTGTTTTTCCATTGACAGAGCACAAGCAGAGTACATTTAGCATACTTCTTAAGGGCCCTAGGGTTTTGGGGGTTGTAAATGAGCATTGGTTCAACTTAAAGTTACCAGCTGCGTTAGACCTTAATAAGAGGGTCAGCCTGTCCTTTGAAGCTTTGAAGTCAGTCATTGACATCTGTTCTCTAGCTATGAAAGTCCTAGATGGAGGCTGTGCTCAGTGGCTCATGCCTGTAATCCCAGCACTTTGGGAGGCTGAGGTGGGTGGATCACCTGAGGCTGGGAGTTCAAGACCAGCCTGGCCAACATGGCGAAACCCTGTCTCTACTTTAAAAACAAACAAACAAACAAACAAACAGAAACTAGCCAGGTGTGGTGCCAGGCACCTGAAATCCTAGCTACTAGGGAAGCTGAGGCAGGAGAATTGCTTAAACCTGGGAGGCGGAGGTTACAGTGAGCCGAGATCGCGCCATTGCACTCCAGCGTGGGAGACAGTGTGACTCTGTCTCAAAGAAAACCCCCAAAAAAACAAAAAAACCCAAAAAAACACCAAACAAAAAACTCAAAAAACAAAAATAAAGTTCTAGATGGCCTCTTCCAATAGAAGGCTGTTTCTTCCACATTGAAAATCTGTTGTTT